GAGGCCACCTGTGAGGAGTCGCGGGCACTGCAGCGGGCACCCGGGGGGTGCCGAGGAAAGCCGGTCCCCCCGCTGGTCACAGCCCCCGCAGCAGTCAGGGGCAGCCCCTCTGCAGGCCCACTGCCCGGTCATCAGGAGACAGCCCAGGAGTGGTGAAGCCACTTGTCACCTCCTGTCCTCGTCCCCCTCCACAGCCTGAGCCCCGGCACTGAAGGACACCTGTAGGCCTCCTGGTGGAAGTCCAGGGCCCAGCCTGGGGACATGAGGCCACCCCCTCCCCAGGGCAAGCCTGGAGCCCCAGACTCTGGCCCTACCCGCCCCTCCCTCAAGGCCTGGGGGGACATTCCAGGTCTGGGGTCTCCCTGCGCTGGCCCCAGGGGTCACACCCCGCAGGCACCCACCTGCTCGGCCTCTGGGATGCTTCCCACGCGGGAAACTCGCAACCGCTCTGCGGAGGCCAGGCCTGCTCAGAAGCCCCCTCCCCACGGTCCCCATCAGAGACCCGCAGCTCAGTGCCCTTCTTCCCCTTCCTCCGTCTCCCTCTCCTTCTTTCTGTTCCTCCATGTCCCCTCCCCTTGGGCTGTCCACCTCTCGGCCAGTCACATTCGCTGTCCACGCACTCTGCTCCAGGTGCTGGTGGCATTAATCGCTCACAAGTGGAGGTCGGGCCCCAGCCCCTCGCACTGACCTTGGCCACCCCGGTCTCCTCCGGGCCGGGCCCTCGCGTCCCCTCACCTGCACGCGGGCCTCGGTCAGCTTGGTCCTCTGGGCCAGCTCCTCGCGGGTGTAGATGTCGGGGTAGTGGGTCCTCTCGAAGGCCTTCTCCAGCTCCTCCAGCTGCTCGGCCGTGAACGTGGTCCGACTGCGGCGCTGCTTGCGCTTCAGAGGGAGGTCCGGTTCCGACTCCACGTCCGAGCCCTCGTCCAGCCGGTTCCCTGCAGCGGGCGAGAGGGGAGACCGCGGGCCGGTGAGGCGGAGGGCGGGTCTGCACGGAGCCACACGCGCCCACTCTGAACACTCACTGAGGACCGGGTCCCTCCCGAGCAGGGAAGGATGCTGACCGCTGCAGGGTCCGTGGGGAGCAGCCTCCATCCCCGGCCCCAGGAGGCTGGCTAAGCAGTTTCTGGCAAAACCATTTTTTTTTTTTTAAAGCTAATCCCCCATAGTTGGGCATTTAGATTATTTCCACTCGCACGGATGGATACCCATGACATGAGGCTCAGGGGGTGGTTTCATGGTGAAATACATTTGTCAAAATTCACAGAAGTATATTCTCCAAGAAAGGGAGGGTTTTGCCGCATATGAATGACATCTGAAAAACCAACTTTAAGAAAAAAGCAAGGTACAAGCCCGTGGGCAGAGATCCATTCCGCCCGCAGAAAAGCACGCACAACCCCATGACCCAAACCCGCACAGGCGCCCACCCTGGGGCCGGGGCGCTTTCTGTGTGATACTTGTATTTAGATAAACTGATGATCGTTTCAACGAGACTGTCGTCGGGTTTTGTGGAAATATTGCAAAAACGAAGAGAAGGAGGAGAAGAGGACAGGGAGGCCGGGGAGAGGAGGGGGCTGGACAGTGCACCTGGGGGTCCTCCTCCGGCTCCTGCTCTCCCCCTCACAGGCGCTACCGGGCCCCGCAGTGGCGTCTGGGAGCTCAGACTCCTGCTAGCTTCCCGCGGGCCTCAGTTTCCCTACGTGTAGCATGAAACGTTTGGACTATGTGGCTTCCACAGGCAGGCCCTTCCTGGGACACTCCCAGATCTCTCAGTGACCTCCCCGCCTGGAGGAGGGGACCTCACCTGGGTGATCTTGGTCGGGCCATGGCCCCCACCTCTTGACTCCTACTAATTTCCACCCTGGAGCCTGGAGGTGAGTGAAGGCTTTGGATTCCTGTGCAGAGAGAGCAGGAAGCTGGAGCCAGCTTGCTCCCTGGCATTGCAAGGGGCTCTCAGGCCAGGAATCCATTTCTGCCCCAGTTGCAGCCTGGGGAAGCTTCAGGAAGGGCTTGATCAAGCTTCCCCACGGTCGGAGCTGAGGCTGAACTGGCTCCCCACCCTCACTGAGCCCCGGCCTCTTGCCCATTTCTGACACTGTCAAGGGGGTGCTAGCAGGGAGGTCCCTAGCCAGGGCTCAGAAGCTCTGCCCCATCCACCAGGAGGGCCTGTGGGGAGTGTGGAGGAGGGGCTGGTGAGAGAAGCAACCAGGGGAGCAGGAAGGCAGGGGGGCAGGGAGAGAGCCCTGACGTCCTCCTCCTCCGGCTGCTGCTCTCTCCCTCTCCTCTCTGCCTCGGTCTTCCTTCCTCCCTCCATCTTTGGATCCTGGAGAACCCTCTGGTCTGTATTCACTCCTTCACCAGACCCTTTACTGAGCAGCTGCTTTGCCTGAATGGACACGGCGTCACGGGCCCACACTACAGATGGGAGAAACTGAGTCACGGAACCCCAGAGGGGAGTGTCCAGGCTGTCGGGGTCACCTCCGCACTCAGCTGCGGTCCCACCTGCTCACCAACGCTAGGGCACACCCTGCCGTGCTCAGCTAAGTGACGCCGGGGACCCCCACGAGGAGCGAGCCCCCACACACGCTGGAAAGCCACGGAAACAGACGAACTCGGCCCCTTGGACGCAGAGGAGGTGAGGGGACGGTGGGCAGAGGCCTGGCTGCTGAAGGGCACGGTGGGCGGTCCACCCCGTGCTGCCCTGCAGGTCACGCGGGAAGGGGGCGGCGTCCACCTGCAGCCCAGCGGCCGGGGGCAACCCCTCTGCTCTGCCCTGGGTTCCTTCTCCCCTCCTCTAGCTCACCTGATGGGAAGTCGTCCCTGTGCCTTACTGACTGCTGCCAGGCTGTCCCCAGCTGTGACATCCTGCCACAGACCCAGGGAACCAAGCCAGTCCTCCCTTCAGTGCTGAGGGCAGATCTGGGGACAGGGCCGTCCCCTCCCCTGCCCTTCACGGCCCGGGCTGCCAGCTGCCCAGCCCCCTCTGACACCGAGCGCGGACGGCGTGGGTCCAGCTGGCCTCCCGGCCCCTCCCTGGCACGTCCGGGGCTCAGAGCCAGAGACGACTGATCCCAAGGACTCACGCCTCGGAACTCGCCGCAGGCCTGACTCCTGATGGGGACCAGGAGGCCAGCGCGGCTCTGAAGGAGGACCTGGCCTTGGCAGGTGGCCAGGGACGCAGGAGTGGCACCCGTGCGGGGACCCTCAGGCTCCGGCAGGACAGGGATCAGGGTTGTCAGAGGCACAGATTGTCCTCAGAGCCGGGAGTCGGAGGACGGTCGCTGAGGGAGGGGCACAGTGGCCCTGGAGGGAGCCCAGCTAACGGCCCAGGCTGCGCCCCGAGCCTCAGAGGTGACGGGATGCTCTCCACCCACGCTGTCCCTTGTGGCCGTCCTGGCCGCGTGTGGCATCGGGCACCCGGACACCACCTTGTGCCACTGGAGAGCTTTCTCCACTGGGCTGGACTTGGTTTCCCACCCGCCTCCCACACCTGCCTCCCCTCAGGGCAGGGGCAGCCCTGGGCCGGAGCTGCCCACGGGGTCACTCTCCAGGACACTGAAGGCCCCGGAGCCGGCACTCAGGGCTCCCGGGCAGGAGCGCTGCTCTCCTGAAGAGGGTTCCTACGGCGCTTTCGTACAAAGTAAAGCCTTAAGGAAATAACAGCAGACTATCAGGCTGTGACCAAAACTGTGACAATGACCAAATGACCCACATCTGTCTCGGGCAGAGGCGCCCAGGTCAAGGTGCTTCCGCCCACCGCCCAGGCTCAGTGCCGCTGCCCCACCCCATGCCCCTGCTCTCCAAGATCCCAGGCCCACCATGGGCCTCCGCTCTGGTCCCCTGCCCCCCAGCTCCCCCTCCCCCATCAGCAGGACCTGGGGAGCCCCGTGGGGCCAGAGAGGAGGAAGCCAGCCAGCCCGAAGGTCTCTGCTGTTTGAGAGGATCTGGAGGACACTCTGCGAGGATGTGTTGCCATAACAACTCCTGGGATGCTGAGAAGGGACAGCAAGACTGTCCTCCACCCGCAGAGACGCAGACACATCTTAGGAGAAGGGGACCACAGCCTGTTTGTGTCTTCAGTCCCCTGAAGGAGAGTTTCCACCCGCTCCCCGGCCTCGCAGGGGATGAGACCCCCATTTGAGGGTGTGGGGGGCTCCTCTGTGCTGTTCACATGACAGGTCTATGAAGCTGGGACAACTGGCTTTTTTAAAAATAGGGAAGCCAGGCACGGTGGTGCGCGTCTGTAATCTCAGTGGCTCAGGAGGCTGAGGCAGGAGGATGGCGAGTTCCAAGCCAGCCTCGGCAATGGCAAGGCACTCAGCAACTCAGAGAGACCCTGTGTCTAAACGAAATACTATACAGGGCTGGGGGTGTGGCTCGTTGGCCAAGCGCCCGAGTTCCATCCCTGGTACCCCTGCCGCCCCCCAAAATAGGAAAACCAAGGCTCAGAGAGGTTCAGCCACTTCAAGGAGCCCACACAGCCCCCATAAGACCGTGGAGAGGGATAGTGAGGAGGGGACTGACTGGCAGGGAGTGTGACAGCCTTGGGGACTTGATAACTGGGTCCTGATCTCTGTCTTTCCTTGGCTGGGTGGCCTTGGATAAGTCCCTCCCCGTCCCCGTCCCCTGGGTTTTCTCAGCTGTAAAAATGAGGATAAAAGCGCACCCCTGCCTTCGGCACTGGATGGCTTTGGGGGTGCAGTGGAAAAGAGCCTTTGAGAATCATTTGGAAGAGGAAGGACCCGGGAAGATGGTTACTGTGGATGATGGTGATAAGGAGGGTGGTGACGGG